GTGTGAACTCTTCCATTTTTCAGTGTTCTGGGCTGCATGTGTAAATATCACTTCATGACGGGAGTAGTACCAATAGAATTTCCTCTGCATCTGTTGTGTGACTGCTCCCATTGCAGCATGAAAGCACTAATTCTCACAGGCTGCGTCTAGACTGGCCAGTTTTTCCAGAAAATCAGCCACTTTTCCAGAAAAACTTGCCAGCTGTCTGCACTGGCCACTTGAATTTCCACAAAAGCACCGACAATCTCATGTAACTGAAGCAAAATGCAGGACGATGTAGCACTTTAAAGACTAACAAGATGGTTTATTAGATGATGAGCTTTCATGGGCCAGACCCACTTCCTCAGATCAAATAGTGGAAGAAAATAGTCACAACCATATATACCAAAGGATACAATTTAAAAAAATGAACAAATATGAAAAGGACAAATCACATTGCAGAACAGAAGGAGGATGCGGGGGGGTGGGAAGGGGGAGGAAGGAAGGTAAGTGTCTGTGAATTGCTGATATTAAAGGTAGGGAGAGTGGGATGTTTGTGAGTTAATGGTATTACAGGTGATAATTGGGGAAACTGTCTTGGTAATGGGTGAGAAAGTTCAAAGACTTGTTAAGTCCTTGTTGGTAAGTGTCGAATTTTAACATGAATGACAGTTCAGAGGATTCCCTTTCAAGTGCAGATGTAAGTAAAAGGTCTTTGTAGCAGAATGCAGGTGGCTAAGTCATTTAGAGAGTGTCCTTTCTGGTTAAAGTGGCAAGAAACTGTTTTCTCTTTGTGATCTTGTCTGATATCTGTTTTGTGGGCATTAATCCTTTGGCGAAGTGTCTGAGATGTTTGTCCAATGTACATAGCAGACGGACACTTTCGGCACATGATAGCATAGATTATATTTCTGGATGCGCAGGAATATGTGTTCTTGATCTTATAACTCACTTGGTTAGGTCCAATAATGGTATCAGCAGAATGAATATGTGGACAAAGCTGGCAACGGGGTTTGTTGCAAGGGAAGGTACCAGGGTTGGTATTAGTGTGGTATGTCCTGTGGTGGTTGGTAAGAATCATCTTGAGGTTAGGTGGTTGTCTATAGGAGACTATGGGTCTGTCTCCCAGAGCCTCTTTGAGTATGGTATCCTGTTCCAATATAGGCTGTAGTTTATTGATAATGTGTTGGACAGGTTTAAGTTGGGGGTTGTAGGTGATGACAAGTGGTGTTCTATTGTTGGTTTTCTTGGGTCTGTCTTGAAGTAGATGGTTTCTAGGTATTCGTCTGGCTCTTTCAATTTGCTTTTTTATTTCTCTGGGTGGGTAGTTGAGACTTATAAATGCTTGGTAGAGATCCTGAAGCTTCTGATCTCGGTCAGTGGGATTAGAGCAGATGCGGTTGTATCGAAGGGCTTGGCTATAGACGATGGATCGTATGGTGTGTTCTGGATGGGAGCTGGAAGCATGTAGGTAACTGTATGAGTCGGTGGGTTTTCTGTAGAGAGTTTTGTGTAATTTTCCATTGTTGATTTGTACTGTGGTGTCCAGGAAGTGGACCTCTCGTGTAGAATGGTCCAGGCTGAGGTTGATGGTGGGGTGTAGGTTGTTAATCTCCGTGGAATATCTCCAGTGTTTCTTGGCCATGCGTCCAGATCATAAAGATGTCATCCATGTAGCGTAAGTAGAGAAGGGGTAAAAGGGGACGGGCGTTCAGGAAATCTCATGTAAGATTGTCAGTGTTCTTGCAGAAATACTGTGCTGTTGCCGTTTGGGCAAAAGTCCTTCTGCGCAAAAGGGCCAGTGAAGACAGCCCAGATTTGTTTTCCGCAAAAAAGCCCCGATCACAAAAATGGCGATCGGGGCTTTTTTTTGTGGAAAAGTGCGTCTAGATTGGCACAGACGCGTTTCTGCAAAGAGTGCTTTTGTGGAAAAGCGTCCGTGCCAATCTAGACATAGCCACAATGTTTTCCACTCTGCTGACCTAAAAGAAACAGAGCTTTTCAATGCTTCTGTACTTCAAACAAAATGAGAGGGAGAATAGAGGTGGAAGGCAAAACAGAAAAAATTCCCATGCACACAGTGTAGCCCCAAAAGCTGAGGTAGTATGTTACAGCTTGCTGGGGACAAATACTGTATCCAAGCAATGAAAGGGGAAATAAGTGAATAAGCCAAATATTTAAAAATATTTGTCAAACTAATTTTATTGTAGTTTTTATACACTGCGGCATTTTTAATGTACAAAAGAAATAGGCAATTTAAGTATTTTTTCCCTTATATACAAGATTTAACCACATAATAGCAGAGATTTAGTAAAAATGTTCAAAGCCTTATGAAGAAAGCCTCCTGCCATCTATACCAATAGCCTAAGCCAGTGGTGCCCTCAGGTGCCGCCAGGGCACTTATGTGCACCCGCCAAGTGATCTGGGCCAGCGCATAAACAGCCCTGCTTCCGGACGCGCAACAGCCCCAAAAGGCTGAGGACCACTGGTCTAAGCCCTTCTTTCAACATGTTACTTCTGAAACTGGTGCTTATTTACAGGTGACTTTCAAGAAGCAGACTAAAGTCTACATTGTTAACATTTACAAGATATAAAAAAAAATATTGTCAACATGCTGCAAAGTTACATTACCCCTGCATAGGCGCAAGTGCAAAGCAGCCACTCCACCGGTTCTATCCTTCTAATTGTAACAGGATCATTGCTTGCCTAGTGCTACCCACTTTCTGGCAGTAAAGCTGTGTTCAAAGGTCAGGTGATTACCTAATGTAATCAGTCAGTACTGAACAATTCAGCATCTCATTTCTTTATTTTTCCTTTTCTTGCTTCTTCTCTAATTGCTGCTTTTGATTGCTTGGAAGACTTGGCCTTTTTTTGCTGGAAATAAAGTTTAAAATGCAGGGTCAGTGTGCTATGCTAAATTGTGATAGAAAAACATAGTAATCAGCATGGCAACACGAAGTCAAAAGAAAGTGTTAACAAAAGTAAGGATATCAAACTATCAGTTACTTCCAATTTTGTGCCCTGATCCTATAGCAGTTCAGTAACCAAAATAAAGCCTCTAAAGACTTTAAAAAGGATGTGGCCTGTACAGGTCTTCATTAAGTCTGTTGCCAAACCTCAATGCACATAGTAGGGGTTCCCATCCATCCCCTTCTTTTTTGGGGACTTCCTGCTCTCTCCTTCCAACCTGGGTTCTATACATTCCCATACCAGGAGCTGTGTCTCTGCCACCATATTTCTCCAGCTGAGAGATAAATCATTCAGAATGGCAACAACATTTTAAACTGTATTGGAAAAAGGAGCAACACTGAAATGTTTTGCTGGCACTAGCCATTCAATTTATAGATGCTTCGAACTGACTGAAGGTGCTGGCTCTGACAACCAGATGCAGGGAACTTGCAGAGCTCCTATTTTACTTTTCAGATTTTTATCAAAATGGGCAAGATGTGTCCTACTATGGTTGAAGCATCCCCAGAAATTATGGAAGGTATCAGATGAGGGGTTCAATTGCATTACAAACAGAATATGAGACTGAAAACAGGGTCTTGCTTCACTTGGCCAATCATCAACTACTTGAATACTAGACAACAGTGCTCCAGCAAAATTCAAACCTACCACCAGAAAATGCCACCTTATTTGCAACATGATTAAATTTAGAACAGTCAAAGTTAACACCCAGCAAACTGGGGAAATGGGGGAGGGTGGTTCTAGCCCCTAGTGCAATGAGCCCTAGTAAGATGGTCTGACTTCTAAAAGGAGACATTAGGTGTTGTACTATCAACTGGAAATATTACCTTGATCATTGCATCACTTTCAATAGAATCATGCTCATCCTCAGACTGAAATTCGTCAGCATTCAACTCTTCATTCAGTTCTGAAGCCAACCCAGGCTGCCGTTTAGATGTCTTTACTGCATGCAGGGCATATGGTATCAAATGTGCCTCCTTGTTATATGCACGTGTAAAAGCTGCTTTGACCTGTTCAGAGTTGAGGAGACACACTGTAAGCACTAGATTGAAGACTCCACATTTTTGGCTATCGAAGCTGTTATCTAGTCAAGGGTGCCCCCGGGGAAGAGTACATGTATGCCTAAGGTTTGCCAACAAAGGGACAGCTATCAGGGAATAAGTGTGGGGAGGACACATCTAAAACACATATAGAAGGCCTAAATCTGTACTACCTGAGATCAGTCAGTCAGTCACTTAGCTTTCAAAATTGTAACTGCCGACAGCACAAATGGCACCCTGATTCTGCCAGCCATCTCCTGTCCCATTACCACTTCACAGTGGACACTTCCGTGTTTTATTCACGAGGTCAAAAAGTTACCCTACATTTATAGAAGAAGGCAAAAGCAGACCAAAGCTACTGAATTTTACCTTGGGGTCCAGTTTAGAAAAGGGAGTAGGTTTGCCTCCCCAGCTGGATATTTCCATAATATTTTCAACATCTTCTCTCATCAAGCAATAAGAGTCCATGAATGTTACAGCATCTTGTACACCTTCTGTTCCCATGCTTGTCAAGGGTCTAACAAGTGCATCCCTCAAGTATGACAAATACTCCATGTTTACGGCTCTCTTGCTAGTGTGAGTTCTTGCCAAATGAAGAAAGATTGTGTTTAAAAGTGTACCTCAAGAATTTAAGTCAACAAATGACGTTAAGAATCAGCTGTGGCTAGACCACCACAATGCAGGCTGTACCTCTGCAAGGAGTCACCAGTGGTGAATTTGCAAATGCCCCTGCTTAACAATATCTCTATTCCAGCCCTGAACAGACCATGTCATTCGCAGTGGACTAGCTAGCAAGGGTCATCCCACAGCAAAAGAAAGAAAGAAATTAGGTCTAACTACAATTTTAAAAAAGAAATCTCAATCTATTTGATTATATAAAAATAGCTTTCTACCATCGGCTTACTGACCATCTTCATGCTAACTCGCTGTTGTTGGTAGCCTATGGCTCAGCTTTTGGAATGCTACCATTGCCAGCCAATGCACATGTCTTCTCTCACTTTCTCTAATGGACCTTTAATATTAAAGGGAGGAGCCTGTTGTAAATAGAGGCTTTTCCCTTTCTCACACATTTGGCTCTGATCCTCCCAGTCCCAGTGCTACATTCTCTCCCAAACCCATTCAGTGTTCAAAGACAATAAGGAGTCCTGTAACACCTTAAGACTAACAGATTTATTTGAGCATTAGTTTTTATTGGCAAAAACCCACTGTCAGATGCATGGAGTGGAAATTAGAAGCAAGCATAAATATCCATGTTTAATATATTTAAGTGGAATGAATATTTAGTATATTTAAGTATATTTATGCCTCTTGAACTTCCATTCCATGCATCTGACAAAAAAAGGCTTTTGCCCATGAAAGCTTATACCCAAATAAATCTGTGGATACAGACTAACATGGCTACCACTCTGGAATGTAGCAGCATTCAATCCTATTTCTAATCCATTTGCTCTCCTTTCTCACTGGTGCCTCTCCTGTGAGAGACAGCAGTCTCATTTTTCTCCTCACCTGCTACTCTCCAGAACCCAGATTCTCTCAACTACATCAAGATAACGATCTAAAATAGAACTGAGTTACATTAACTCAGTAAGACTAAACCATCCTAAAACAGTGCACACTAGGAAGCACAGCAAGAAGTCTGCATTACCTGAGACTCATGTGCATTGCCAGTTCTTGAACAATCCGGTCATGTTTGCCTGTGGATGAAAATTTCCCCAGCCAGCTTGGAAAGTTAGGAAACTGTGACATGTAACCTCTCATCAGCTCCCCAGGGAGAACACTCGAATAAATGGCCTGAAAGGTGAAGTGCACAAATTCAGCTTAGCAGTAAATGTTTATAACACTGGCATCAGGAGTTCCTGATGACACACTGAAAATACAAATCATGCTACAGCAATATTGGTGTGTTGAAATTAACAATAGACAAAACCTATGCAAATATAGGATGTGTCTACTCTGCAAACAAAGGCCCATGGCTGGCCCAGGTCAGCTGACTTGGGCCCAGACTGGATCCCCGACTCTGGGGCCTTATAATGAGAAGCACCTCAGAATATTTATACTACAACTTTTAGCCATGCAGCCCAAGCCACTGTCTGAGGCTCAGTGCCAGGGATTTTTTAGCACAGTCTAGTCATACCTATATGGTATCTGGGAGGCTATGGAATAATCTGCTGTGGGAAGTGAGAGTTGGCCATCTAATAAATTCTAAGCCAAAATGAGAGCATTGCGCTCATCTAGTCCCATGGATAGCCACTATAGTGGCTACTGCTATAGCAAGCTGGCCACACTCAATCAGCCAAATAGCCACATATGCCTAGTGGATTGCATGTTGGACACCACGGCTCTAGTCTGACCTGCTGCATAACACAAACCAGGCCATAGAAATTCCCCAGAAATATCTGTTTTGAAATAGAGCAGATCGTTCAGAAAACGACGCTTGACTTAAGTGCCAGTGCTCAAGAATCCCTGGATACAGGGAGATCTAGACAGAACAAAGCATTAGAAAACATAGTGGAAAGATAGAAACAACCCTACAGTGGTTATGTGGTGGATTACATTTATTAGATCTTTCTCATTTTTAATTTCTAAAATGCACCATATCCACTGAAAGAAAATCCCAGATCACTTACTTATTCTAAAGACTGTTACCCTGTTAATATTAAATCTAAATGACTAGTTTAAGCCCCGTAAATTGACATGTTTCTAGAAGTGAGTGCAAAAAGGTTAGTATCCCTTTGCAAAGGAAATGCATATTTTCTAATATATTTGTTGCTTTTAGGTGATTACATATGTGGTGTACCAGCCATCAGCACAGCTGATTATATGCCACGGGGTTTATATGACATGAACCCCTCATCATAGGCATTACAGATTTCAAAGCTATTTTCAGTCATATAGCTAGAGGTGAAATACAGCTATTGATACATGGCATAAGATAGGCTTTTAATTTATCCTATTAAGACACTTTAACACAGGGCTACTAAACTTGGAAATCTCCAGGGCCCACAATGATACAGCACATGCTAAGGGCCGCAACTTAAGTGTGGTTACATACACATGAATATATATGCAAATAGCTTATTTCACACTGACAGGCATAAATACAAAGCACTTCCCACAATCTCCCAGCACCTCCTCCGTGGGGGCTAGAAACGCTGTTCCCATCTATTCCATCCAGCTCATCCACTTGTGTCTTTCAATGATCACCCCACCTGGGAGACACCTCACTATTGTGGAGCATGTTCCCAGGGGAGGCATGTTCAAAGGATCCCACCCGTGGGCCACGTGTTGAGCCTTGTGTAAACCCAAACTGCCCCCCCAGCCCACAAACAAACAGGCCAAGGGCCGCATGTTGAGTAGTACTGCTTTAACAGATGTCAGTCCACTCAACTGTCAAAGATATTAATACAGAGCCTGATGTTTCTGGCTCTGCTGCCTTCAGAACATCTCCTAAAATGGCTATTTCTATGGGATTGTCTCACCGGGACCAGATGGCATTCACCCAAGAGTTCTGAAAGAACTCAAAGGTGAAATTGCGGAACTATTAGCTGTGGTTTGTAACCTATCCTTTAAATCCGCTTCTGTACCCAATGACTGTAAGATAGCCAATGTGACACCAATATTTAAAAAGGGCTCTAGAGGTGATCCTGGCAATTACAGACTAGTAAGTCTAATGTCAATACTGGGCAAATTAATTGATATTATAGTAAAGAACAAAATTGTTAAATACATAGATGAACATAATTTGTTGGGGAAGTCAACATGGTTTCTGTAAAGGGAAATCATGACTTATTAATCTACTAGAGTTCTCTGAGAGGGTCAATGAACATGTGGACAAGGGGGATCCAGTAGATATAGTATACTTAGATTTCCAGAAAGCCTTTGACAAGGTCCCTTACCAAAGGCTCTTAAGTAAAGTAAGTTCTCATGGGATAAGAGGGAAGGTCCTTTCGTGGATTGATAACTGGTTAAAAGACAGGAAACAAAGGGTAGGAATAAATGGTCAGTTTTCAGAAGAGAGGGGTAACTAGTGGTGTCCCCCAAGCATCTGTGCTGGGACCAATCCTGTTCATCTTATTTATAAATAATCTAGAGAAAGGGATAAACAGTGAGGTGGCAACATTTTCAGAGGATACTAAACTGTTCAAGACAGTTAAAACCAAAGCAGACTGTGCAGAGCTTCAAACAGATCTCACCAAACTAAGTGATTGGGCAACAAAATGGAAAAAGAAATTTAATGTCGATAAAATTAACATTGGAAAAAATAATCCCAACTATACATACAATACGATGGGGACTAATTTAGCTACAGCTACTCAAGAGAGACCTTGGAATCATTGTGGATAGTTCTCTGAAAACAGCCACGCAGTGAGCAGCAGCAGTCAAAACAGCAAACAATGTTAGGAATCATTTAAAAAACGATATAGAATAAGACAGAATATTTTATTGCCTCTATGGGTAGATCTACACATCAAAGTTAATTAGAAAAAATTTCCCAAAGGGGTAGACTCTGGCCACACTGTACACCAGAGCCAGGCCTTCCAGCAGTCACTTCCCCTCACCCACTGGCCAGAGAATGAGCCAGGCAGACAGTGCCAGCCAGCTGTCCCCTGCCCAGTCCCCCAGCTCTCCGGAGCCAGTCAGGGGCTGAAGATGGTGGGCACCCTCCTGGACTAGTGCGGAGATCACGGACCTCATTGAGGTTTGGGGGGAGGCCTCCAATGTCCATGATCTCCACACTAGATCGAGGACCCAGCCAGTGCCAGCCAGCTGTCCACCGCCCAGTCCCCCAGCTCCCAGGAGCCAGCCAGGGGCCGGAGACGGCGGGCACCTTCCTGGACAAGTGCAGAGATCATGGACCTATTGAGGTTTGGGGGGAGGCCAACATTCAAGATCTCCGCACTAGACGGAGGAACGCAGCCGTCTACGGCCATGACGGTCTGTGCCACCCCGAGGGGCACCGATCAAGGAGCAGAGGGCCCTGACCAGGGCGTGGAGGAGGAGCCGCGATGGAGGGTGCCATGTCGCCAGGACCCCCGAACCGTCCCAGCAGCAGAGTCACCAGGGTCATCCGCGGAGGCCACAACATGTGAGTGCCATCACTGTCCCCTTACTGGAGAGGAGAGGGAGGCCAAGGACCACGTGTATGGGCCTTGCTTACCATGGATCACGCAGCAACCTGTGCACATGAGCACATGCCATGCCACCCCTGGGCTGGTGGCTCCAGCTGGCTGCCACACAGGGGTCTTGGCCTGATAGCCACATGCGTGTGTGAAGAGACCTAACATGCTCCTGACCCCGGGGTGGGACACAGCAGGACGCCCTCCCTTCACAAGCCCCCTCTACACAGAGGCAGGGGACATCTCCTCTCCACCTCAGCCTCACTATATACAGCACAGGGCATGGATGCAGTCTTGAGGCAGCTCCCACTCCGGGGATAGCCAGAAAATCCGACCCGAACCGTCCCAGCAGCAGAGTCACCAGGGTCATCCGCGGAGGCCACAACATGTGAGTGCCATCACTGTCCCCTTACTGGAGAGGAGAGGGAGGCCAAGGACCACGTGTATGGGCCTTGCTTACCATGGATCACGCAGCAACCTGTGCACATGAGCACATGCCATGCCACCCCTGGGCTGGTGGCTCCAGCTGGCTGCCACACAGGGGTCTTGGCCTGATAGCCACATGCGTGTGTGAAGAGACCTAACATGCTCCTGACCCCGGGGTGGGACACAGCAGGACGCCCTCCCTTCACAAGCCCCCTCTACACAGAGGCAGGGGACATCTCCTCTCCACCTCAGCCTCACTATATACAGCACAGGGCATGGATGCAGTCTTGAGGCAGCTCCCACTCCGGGGATAGCCAGAAAATCCGACCATGGCCTCTGTGTAAGCACATTGGCTCTGACGGTGCAGGGCATGGTCACCCTCACCTCGCAGAGGGGGACTGGGCTTCACCCACTATGTCCCCAGGGAAAACTGACCACTGCTCTTCTTTCTCCACAGCCGCACCAGCTGCACATGCAGGGCGCACAACCCCGCCCAGGACATGCTCCTGCACCTGAGGGCTCCACAGGACCACCCAAACACTACAGGGGTACCAACAGCGGCACCTGGGGGCCCTGCAAGCCCTGCACCGCACCCTGGACAGGACAGGAGCCCTGCCAGTCTGGCCACCAAAGGCCACATGTTAACCCAGGAGCAGGTTTGCATGACAATCAAGTTGGTCCGGCGAGATCCCCAACCCTGAGCTTCCCCTCCCCCTTCTTCCCTCTTCCAGCCCCCTCCTCCCAGGTTTCCCCCTCCCCTCTCCCACCCTCCCTCCTCCCCCCAGTCTCCCCAGAGTTTCATTCCCCCCTCCCCCCCCAGTTTTGTTAAAGAAAGAGAGTTTGTATTTATGAAAAAACATGGTTTTTGTTTGACATGAGAAAGGGGGTTGGGGAGGGTGGGTAAGTGGAAGGACGTGAGGGAGGAATGAGGCACAAGCCCCCAGTGGGGCACACCAGGGAGACTGTTAGTGCTCCTCAGGGTGGAAGCTCTCCCGCAGGGCCTCTTGGATTGATATGGACAGCCCCCAGATGGACCTCCCAGATGGCAGCCTGAAGAAAGTGCAGCCAGGCTGGTAGCAACGCATCCACAAGAAGCACCAGAGTGTCCGGGGTGGCTCTGGCTCCATGATACAGAGTGCTATGGTGTCCCAAGTCAGGGCAACTAAAGCAGACAGAGAAAAATGCTTTGCTCTGCCTCAATGAGGTACGCAAGCAAGCAGGGAAAGCTGAGAACCGGCTGTCCAGGGGGGTCCCTTTAAGCACAAGCCTTACATAGCCTCAGGCAGCAGCCACACAAAGCAACTACTGACCTGAGGCCCTGCTGGAACCGGTTTCAGCTGCCCTTAAATGCGATTCAGTGTCCAATCAGTGTGGATGCGCTATTTCGAAATGCATTTTGTGTATAGACGGATTATTTTGAATTAACTATTTTGAATTAATGCTGTAGTGTAGACATACCCTATATAAATCCATGGTATGCCTAAATCTTGACTGTTGCATACAGATGTTGTCACCTCATCTCAAAAGAGATACGCTGGTATTGGAAAAGGTTCAGAGAAGGGAAACAAAACTGATTAGGGGTTTGCAATAGATCCCATATGAAGAAAGATTAAAAAGATTTGGACTTTTCAGCTTAGAAAAAAGGAAACTAAGGGGGGCTATGATAGAGGTCTATAAAATCATGACTGGCATGGAAAAAGTGAATAAGGAAAAGTTACGTACTTGTTCCCATAAGAACTAGGGGTCACCAAATGAAATTAATACACAGCAGGTTTAAAAACACACAAAATTAAGTTTTTCTTCACACAGTGCAGAGTCAACCTGTGGAACTCCTTATCAGAGGATGTTGTGAAGACTAAAATTAATAGGGTTCAAAAAAGAGCTAGACAAATTCATGGAGTTAGGTCTGTCAATGGCTATTAGCCAGAATATGTAGAAGTGGTGCCCCTAGCCTCTGTCTGGAAATTGGTGACAGGAGAGGGATCACACGATGATTGCCAACAGTGGCCAATACCAGATGCCCCAGAGGGAGCGAACACAGCAGGTAGACAGGATACTGAGCTAGATGGACCTTTGGTTTGACCCAGTATAGCTGTTCTTATGTTCTAAGTTTGGCACCTTACAGGCACAGTAACAATAACTAGGCAGCATGAACAGCTTTTAAAAGACTCCTGGGTTCTGAGGAAATGCCGTGCAGAGTGCAGGGTCAGCTGAGGAGTTCCCTGCTGACCCCAGGCTCCATGGCTTTGAAATGCATAAGAGCCCCCCACTAGGGACTCTTGTACATTTCAAAGCAGGCACCTGCGTGCAGCCCGGAGTCAGCAGGACTCCCCAGCGGGAGCTCTTGTACATTTCAAAGGAGGAATGAGGAAGTGCCTATCGACTAGTTGAGTAGTCCATGGAAATTCCATCAACTACTCAATCAACCGCAATTTAACATCCCTATTCAGCACCAGAATGAATCTTTAAAAGCCACAAAACACTATTAAAATATTAAAATACAGAACACAACAAAACCAAAAATCCCTATCCTCAAACTGAACAATTCAAACAGGTTTGGGTTCTCCAACATCCTAACTGTAGTAACACACACAGATAATACCATCTGCCCTCTGTGATGAAGGAACTGAAGTGGCTGGCGGAAGTAAACTCCTCTACATATACACAGCCTTGGGGCAAACCTTTAGCACCTTGAGGGGGCACTTGTGCATACCCCAATGGATACAGCTTTCATGAGGTTTCTATTAACTTGATACCAGGAGTATGATAGCATTTCTCAAAGTCTGTGTGAAGGCAGGAGGAGAAAAACACCACGAAGGATTGGCCAAGAGGGCATGGACAGATGTCCAAATAATTGTTCTCCAGATTGCCAACAGGGATAGTGTGTGATGGTGCTGGCAGGAGATTACAAGGACTAGCCAAGGGAGGTAGGGAAGACAGAGATTATGTCCAAGATCTATCCATCTCAACTTTCTACAACATAACAGAGTTGCAGGGGACATGCAATTTCCTGAAGAGAAGCTCAAGCTTTCAGAAGTTTGGGAAACACTATTATTACAAAGTGGTTTTAACTCACGTAAATAAGGGAAATGTTGTAATCAAAATGGCAGAATCTACCATTTAAACTGAAAAACAGTATAGGAATACATGTAATAAACTAGGACAAGTTCAAGGCAGTGATCTGGTATTTGAGATAGCCTTACATTATGTGTGAGGAATAAAAGAACAGTTTACCTGCGTAGGCAGAAGGTTCCAGTTTTGCTTACTGCGAATCTGCCGATCAACTAGGTCACCATCACATATACTGTCTGCCGCTCTGCTCAGTAGCATCAAATGTTTTTTCATGTTACCTCTTAAAAAAAAAAAAAAAAAAAAAAAAAAAAGGAGTTATCCATTTTACTGCTGGAACCTGCAAACAATTTTTATTCTTTAATACATCTCAAATATAAAAAAGACCCAGACCCAGAACCATTTGCGATACTGAACAACTCACCGAGCAGCAATAGGTTTTACATGTACATAGTTTTCCTGGACAAAAAGAGGTGCTAGAGAGTAATCATGGAAGAATAAGTCGGATTTGTCTATAAGAGACATGTGAGCAGTTTCCTCTCCAGCAACAAAAACCTTCCTGACGACATCAAAGGGGCCCTACAATAAAAAGCATTTTTAAAAGCAAGTTGATTGCACATCTTCTAATACTAGATGAAGACAGGAAGCACTTTAGCAATGGCCTATAGCTATATCTGGATTCTAATATAAAACTCTGTTCTGCTAGAATTCCTTAGAATTACGGTTAGAAAGGAGTGAACTCTATAAGCTTTAACCTTCAGGGAGCTAACAAGTTGGTGCTTTTTTAAAAATATACATTATTGTTGCATAGATATAAAGCTAAATTGCATGGCCAACTTCATCTAAAGTATATTAACCTTGCAGAGGCAGTTTAGATCTACATAGTGAGATCCATAACAGACTTCAAGGAGCACTCTTTTCTGAACTTGCTCTGGGATAAACTACTAATTTTGTCTGTTTTACTCTTCAGTTATGGTGATAAAACTTTAGCAAATAAGCTGGTCTGGTACATAGTCAAAACGCTTTTTAAGTAGCTGACTACCTGTGTATATATTTTGACTACTAGCATTTTATTTCTATTGTTGAACTCTGTCACTAGTGCTTATAAGCACCTTCTGGTTAACAGGAACAAATCCATCAGCAGCCGATCCAAGATGTACAGTTGTCTTACCAGTTTGATATCCTTTTTGGCTTTGTTGGCATCAGCTTTTGCCTCATCATAAGTCAATGATTTATTTTTTGTACACCACATATTAAGATTATGTAAAACCTGGGAACAAACAAATGAAACATCTTATGTATAGCTAAAGACATCTGACAGGAAAAAAAAATCTGATCTCTCACAAAACACAGCTGTTAATAATATTCATGTGTTACAATGCAAGTATGAACTACAGGCTACCAAGATTGCTTCAGGTGTATAACTGACCTGCCTAATATCCTGATTTGCTGCCAAAATTATCTCATTCATAGCTGGAGCGGGTATCTTTAACCCTTCTTTAAATGCAATGGACATCATGGCACCCTGTAATGAGTAAAATATTTGCAAGAGAAAAATGTGTTGAATATTTTTGTACATATAATATAGTTAAAAGAGAATAAAAAATGAGGCTAAATATGAACATCCACAATGAAGAAAGTTAAATGATTTTATTTCAGTTTATTAAATAAGTTTTTTTTTAAATCAGTCTTCTTTCAAGTATGGGTATCTACTACCCATTGTTACTTTTACCTTGGCACTTGGCTCTTTAAAATATGAGGTCACTTTCTTAGGTGCCTAACTATGCATCCAACTTTTGAAAAAATCTGGAATAGCCCAAAAAATCTATCCAGCCACCCTCCAACTACTAAATTACTCCATGCAGTCTTATTTTTAATCTTAGGTGTTGGTTCTGTTTCTACAAGTGACCTGACAATTAACAAATTGTGCTTATAGAGGACGCTGCATTCAGTGCAATGCTACTCACTGAACAATGTAATGTCACTCTTCCTACCTTAATCTGTTCTAGCCGAGGTCTCTGAAAGCGAAGATCAAAACAGTAATGGACCAGGGAACGAATCTTGGGATGGTTCCGATCATTACACATACAAATGATAGGAATCTTTGTGTGTTTGATCAGAGCAATTAACTCCTGCAATTTAAACATGTTTACAGTGCAAATGTTAACGTCTTCAACATACCACACACATAGTTTTTGCTATTAGCATTTGTTTCAGTTATGAATCAATACTTGGCCTAAATCCTTAGATGTTATAAATCAGCTTAGTCCTACTGACTTTCATGGGGTAATATTATGGATCAGGTCCTTTCAACTCTCATTTACCACTATATTGACATATACAATTATTTCCACCGTGCCTCAACTGCAATTTAAGCAGGGTACCCCGCTTCCCCCCCAGTATTAATATTAGAATAATAGAATAACTAGAACTGGAAGGTTCTCAAGGGGTCATCAAGTCCAGTCCCCTGCAGGACCAAGCACCATCTAGATCAGGGGTGGGCACGATACGGCCAGTGGCCCACCTTGGAAGGGTGCACAGGGCAAGAGGGTTCGATTGGCTCGGGGGTGGGACAGCATAAGAAGTCTCTTCCCCACCACCACCAGGGATGCATAGTTCCCTCTATGCCAGTTTTTCCTCAAACTGTGCTCCCCAGGGCTCCCGAGAGATCTCCAAGGGCTCCGCGAGGCTGACAAACTGGAAACATCGATAGGTACAACACATACAATCAGTGGACTGCTAGGGCTCCGCATAAATTTTTACACGTGTAAAGGGCTCCGGAGCCTACAAAGTTTGAGAACCGCTGCTCTATGTATTGCACCCCGATGGAGTGGAGGGGGGGAGATTTTGCACACTCTCCTACCCCCAGACTAACCACCAACCATTCTGAACAGCAGTGGCTTCATCTATATGCTCTGCACTCCTGATGGGGAATGAGAGACTTTGCGTACTTCCTTGCCCCTACCTGTGATGATTGGCCTGGGGGCAGGGGAACACAAAAAATCCCCTCTCCCCTACTTTCCCCTCCCCCCGAGGGGAATGTAGAGGGGATCACCAGCTATTCAAAAGAGCTGGTAGTTCCCTCTAGGTGCCATGAGACCTTGGCAGGGGCAAAAGTTCCCACACACCCCTGCTCCTAGAACTCGATTGGCCTGGGGACGGGAGCATGAGCGAAGTCTCTTGCCCTCCAGGGACGCGTGGTCCTCAATAGCACATGGAGGGAACCCATGTGGATGGGGCTGATGCAGGAGAGAACCTGCCTCAGTGACCCAGTTGGACTGCCAGCTGGGAGGTAAATTACTTCCAGCCAAAGCCTACCTCAGGCACCTCAGCCCCCTCACCACTTCATAACTCAGGTCACCTCCTCTGCACACCACGCCAGATCACAATTCCTCTCAGACCCTGCACCCCCTGCTATACACCTCCCCCAGATCAAAATTTACTCCTGCACCCCAACTCCCTCCTCAACCCAGCACCCTAATCCCCTACCCAAGGTCACAATCCCATACTTCACTTGTTTAGACCCTCTCAGACCCTGCTCCCCAATCCCCTACCCCACGTTCTCTTCTGCACCCTACCTCCATCCCAAACCTCATACCCCCTCCATAGAGAAGTGCAGCCCTTGACCCTTTCCAAAAATCTTGGAGATGCCCGTCTAACCTGCTCTTAAATATCTCCAATGATGGAGATTCCACAACCTCCCTAGGCAATTTATTCCAGTGCTTGACCACCCTCACGGGAAGCTTTTTGTCAAATCCAACCTAAACCTCCCTTGATACAATTTAAGCCCATTGCTTCTTGTCCTATCAAAAGTTAAGAAGGAGTAATTTTTCCTCTTCTGCCTTGTAACACCCTTTTAGATACTTGAAAGCTGTTATGTCCCCTCTTAGTCTTCTCTTTTCCAAACTAAACAACTCCAATACTTTCACTTTTCCCTCATAGCTCATGTTCTCTAGACCTTTAATCATTTTTTATGCTTTTCTCTGGACCTTCTCCCATTTCCCACATCTTTCCTGAAATGCGTTGCCCAGAACTGGACACAATACTGCAGCTGAGGCCTAACCAGCGCAGAGTAAAGCAAAAGAATTACTTCTTGTATCTTGCTTATAACACTCCTGTTAATACATCCCAAAATGAGGTTTGCTTTTTTTGCAAGTGTTACACTGCTGACTCATATTTAGCTTGTGGTCCACTATGACCCCTAGATACCTTTCTGCAGTACTCCTTCCTAGACAGTCACTTCCCATTCTGTATTAGAAACTGATTGTTTCTCCCTAACTGAAGCACTTCACATTTGTCCATATTGAACTTCATCCTATTTACCTCAGACCACTTCTTTAGTTTATCCAGGTTATTTTGAAGTAGGAGTCTATCCTCCAAAGTACTTGCCACCTCTCCCTGCCATTATGTAAACTGTTGAGCAATACTAAGCTCTGTGATGAGATCATCATCTTGATCAACTACTTTATATTACATTTATATGGATAGTGACAGCAACAAATGGTAGATGTTTCACCTGTATCCCTCCTCTGTCTTCATTCCCTGCCATTCCATCCACTTCATCCATGATCAATACATGTTTCATACTAACAGAATGGGACATTCCTAAAGAAGTAATAAAGATAAAGTGAAGTTACGCTGAACTATTTACTTCCCAAGGTTATAATGGTGGTATTTTTTACACAACTCTGAAGTTAAATCTATATCAAGTAAATATTAACCTGTTCTGCCACTCGCACACATGGCACACTCAAAATACAACATGTTCACACGGTAGTGCTGACCGATCCTCTTATTTCTACATTATCTACTAGTGCACACTAGTCCTGTCCCGCAACTTCCATAACAATTAGAAATGTCAACCTAAATTGATATTTAGGATTCTTTCCAGGCTCATTGTTCTACCTTGCCTTCATCTTAATACATGAAACTCCCTCTCTAACATATGGACCAGCTATTGAGCATGCTTAGCTCCCAATGGATGTCCTCAAAAGAGGGTACAGTTAACTTCACTTCAGTAAGAGTTGAGGCACTCAGCAGTGCACACAACAGGGCCCCACCTAAAAGCAACAAGGACCATCACACACTTTACGTACCAGAACAGAAGTCTTTAATGCTGGTGTTATTTAGAGATTCAGCAACCACATCCTTCAAACTGTTCTTACTGCGAGTGTCACTGGCATTCAGTTCCACATAACTGTACCCCAATTCCTAATTCAGTACAAACAAAGCAGAACAGTTAGAACACAACAGAAAAAAAACAACAAATCACTCATCAGCAAAGATGGGAATACCATATATTATCATCTAAAATAATATGCAGTTTTGTTGTTAGATTATCTTTTAGAACATAAGAACGGCCATACTGGGTCAGATCAAAGATCTATCTAGCCCAGTATCCTGTCTGCCTACAGCAGCTAATACCAGATGCTCCATAGGGAGGGAACATAGCAGGTAATCCTTATGTGATCCCTCCCATCACTCATTTCCAATCACACTTTTGAATTTTCCCTTCTTTTTCTATTGTATCCTAAATATTTTTAGGGTCAACCACCATAAACAGAGACCATGCTATCTTGCCCACAGCAGAATGAAGTCCACTACTGACTCAAGAATTCATTTCTAAAATTGTGTAAGTTTGAGGGTGGATCTGTCTCTTTTCAGTTTTATATAACTGGGAGATCACATATTCAGGCACAGAAGGGAACTGAAGTAACACATCAAGAACTCAGTTTAAATAGGAATATATCAGTGGTTCTCAAACTTTTGTGTTGGTGACCCCTTTCATGTAGCAAGCTTCAGTATGACCTCCCCTTACAAATTAAAAACACTTTTTTAAATAAAATAAGCACCACTTTAAATGCTGGAGGTGAATCAGGGTATGGAATGGAGGATGACAGCCCCTGTAATAACCTAATGAGCCCGTAATACCCTGGTGACACCCCAGTTTGAGAACCTGGAATATATAGTATAGGTCTCATCTGAAGCAGAAAAATCAGAGTTTTAGTTGGGGTTTTTCAAAGAGGATAAGAATTCTGGACCCAACTCAGACTTGCTTTCACTAGGTTTTGGGTGCAAACTCCCTTAGGCCCCATTGTGAATGATGTCTGGGATTTTCCATTAGTATTTCTGAAAGATTTACAGAAAGAAACATTGTGTGTGAAATCTTCATTATCTCCCACCACAAAACTAGACAGATTAGGTCAGAGTTTCTCAGTCTTTTCAGTAAGGGAGGCCTAACCTGAAAGCCCCCAAAACATATACTATAAAAAGAGGTTAAAAAAAAATCAGTGATAACATTAAGTCTATATAATTGATAGAATCTTATTGTTAAAATAGTTAACTATTATATTGATGTAATTAGATTTTTAAATGTAGTAAGATTTTAAATAATTTCATTGTTTCTTTGCTTGACAATGGTTATAAAGTTTCAACATATCATGAGCCCCGACTGTTATCATGATGTGCACTGGGGCCATGACCCACCAGTTGAGAAAATGTTATTAGACAAACATTTGAATAATTTTCTCAATTGTCAGCAAAAATTCAATACTGTCCCAACTCTTCTCAGCTTCTTTGTCTTTAACAATTCACTTAGAAAGTGTGACAGTGGGGGAAGTGAAAATATTTAGGCTTAGGGCTATATTTTGTTATTCCTCCTAATGTCACACAATTTTCAAAAGCATGACTGATGGCTTCACTCTGCTCTCACTATCTCCTATTACCTTCATTAGGAACAGAGTTAAGCAAGCACTGTAAACTTTAAAAAAAATCCAATCCTCAACACACTGCAACATATATTTCTTTTCATAAATAGACATGAATGCATAATCACACCACTATCATATATGTACTAACACTACACATTACAGGAGTATCCTAGTGCCTGTATCAATGACAGGCAACCTGTGGTCAGCAGTTCCACATGCAGCCCATTAGGGTACTGTGTGTGACCCATAAGAAATGTTGTTTACCATTGCCCATGTGCCAAGTTGCCAGACTCAGCTGGTTTCTATCGGTGTAGTTTCTTCCTACCAGTATTACTGAAGTGACATGCAAGTAAAGCAAGGACATGTGAAGTGCGCTATCAGAATGCACCTTACAACATGGACTGAGAGCCGTGCATACCCTCTGCATCCACTCAAAGTGCTACTGCAGCTCCGTGGGCACATCCTGCAAATTCTAGGTGTACAAGCACACTGAGATGAAGGATGGCCACTCACTAGTCTAGGTTGCCCATCAGTCATCTGTATTCTCATGTAAGATCCTGACACTACAAGCAGTTCTATATGGGTGGACATTCATGGTGGCTCTATGTATAGGTGGAAGGGATGTTAACACACGCTTAATTTTGTAAACATGTAATGGCTGAAATTTACAGCGAGTACACATTTACACAGGGGGAGCAGGCAGGAGCAGTTTTAAGCCAGTTCCCCGCGACCCCCGGCTCCTGCCTATATTGCCACCACCATTCCATGCTGCTGGCCTCCCACTGTGTGTAACAGTTTACATCGTTAATCATGTAAATGACTACATATTCACATCCCTAGTAGGTGAACTCCTGTGCCTATGCAGAGTAACAGTAGGATCCAGCTTGATCTTACACCTGTAATTGGAAACATTAAGGCCTATGTCCAATGCCTGCAACTTCTCTTGCATACCAAAAACATTTGTGAAGCAGCACTCACCTGACAAACTAAAGCAGCTGTAGTCGTTTTACCAACTCCTGGTGGCCCGGACAGTAAAGCTGCTTTAAAATTAGTACCATCATCTTTGCCTCCCAATTTACTGGGTTTTCCTTTAAAAAAAAGGGGGTGGGGGGAGATTATCTAAATATAATACAGAGATGGGACAGAGTCACATTTTAAAAACCATACCTGAAAAACTAGACCTTAAAACAAGCAAGCTCAATCTTTGGATACCAGAATGATGGACTACAAATCTATAAAAAACTGTAGCATGAACATTTGGAGAACTGTAATTCAAATCATTTCAGTTTAAAGAGATTAAGTGATTGTACTCTTTGCTTTTAATTGTTTCCAAAATTAACATACTTGTTGGCACTAAAATGTTTTACCATTTTAGTTGCTGAGACATTAGTTTTGAAGACATGAAAAATAAGCCTGTGGGTTCTAATGAAATTATATGCAAACTTAGGATGACATTTTCATTCTCTTATAGATTATCATGGAAGGTCAGAAAAAGTTAGTACAGAATACCACACATTAAGTACCAACATATTGTACTGACCAGTTTGCAGCATCTTTTTTTTTTTTTTTTAAGTCACAGATTATTGTTAAAACAACATGCTCGTCATTGCCAGGACCTTGGGAAGTCACTTCTTCCCCGTGTGCACAGCAGCCACCAGAGTACAATAGCCTTCAGGGCTTTGCAAGGCTCACTTTTCTCCTTGCTGATGAGGAAATGGGTGTTGGCAGAGGCCAATTATGGTGGAAGACTCTTAAGGAATGTAGGGGAAGTGAATTAATGATTGTTGAAGTCTGGGTATCTTATACTTTGTAAATATCCAAACAAATAGAATACAACACTGTGGTTTTACAACTGCAAAGATAAAACAGAGACTTGACACTTGCTGAAAATATCACTTCTACTCTGAGACATTAAATCAGATTCCAGAATATTAGTTGCTAGCACTATATGCAGAAGAATTCTACATGAAGCTGAGCAGTGGGAACACCAACAATTCTACAAACTGAGAAACCTGCAAAAAGCCAGATAGATATTAATTGCATAGTCACCATGTTTGTCCTCAGAAGTATTCTTGTACCAGTTTTGGAGCCATCGTAACAACTTATTAGCACAGCTTTGATCCCCTTGCTGTCCAATTACTGTTTTAAGAGATGTGGGCTTATATTTATCAACCCATAGCAACCCTTCTGCTCTGACTTTGCTTATATCAGGAACACAAGTCTCTTCAGCCTTTGGAGCATGCTTTCTCTCCACAGCTTGCTGCTTGAAGTCCAGACTTTTCTGTGTTTCGGTAGTTTCTTTTTTTAGAGATCTGAAGGTGCCTCCTTTTTCTGGAGTGGAGTTGCTTTTTTTAGAGTCAGTTTCTCTCTTAGCTGGGCTAACTTTTCTTTTTTCAGGCTCAACTTTTTGCGGGGTCTTGTCCCATTTTGGCTTTGATTTCTTTGCCTTCAAAGTCAGAAGAGTGAAAGTGTGAAGGGAAAATAATACCAACCAGGAAATACACAGGCCAGTGGCATAAAGAACTAGAGAGCCTTTGGAATGGCACAGTGTATATAAATAGAGCTAATTGGAATTTTCACCACCCCTCTGTATACGATTTTATTCAAATGATATACTCATTGTCAGAAATTTTCCAAGGAAAAGTTTGAAATATTCAGCAATAAAAATTAAAACTTCAATTTGGAAGTAACACTGCCTTGCCTCATGGGATCTGTCAGGCTAGGGAGCCACTCCATAGAGGGGGCCATGAGGTACCTGAACTGTAACTCTCATTATGCACCACGGTCTCCCTTATTGCCGACCCATTACGATATCACAGAGTCTCTACTTATGGCACTTTGTTGGATATATAATTTGAGGCTAAAGGGTGCAGCCTATGGAAGAGAAAAGAGAAAACTAACTCCCATGAAGCACTATGGTAGCATTTCAAAAAATGTTTTGGTTTTTCAAACAAAAAGCCCAAAATTGCCCTTGATAAAAACAGACACTTTCTATGAAAAATGAAGCTCAGTCATAAGCCCAAATTTCTATCAAAACGTTTTGGAACTTTGCGACACTGCCAAAGAAACACAACTCCCAGCACAGTTATGAACAGTAAGCCTGTGAGTGGATTACAATACTAACACAAAATCAATTTTAGGTTTATATAAAAATAGATACAATTATCACAATTAGAGCTGCTAGTCACAGGAGAAATGGCAAGACCATGTCTACATTTACTTTGGAAGCCACGTTAGTACTGCTAGAAAACTGTGAATACTGTTTGCCTGATCATTATAGACTGAGCTTAACCACACTGTGTAACACTTTATAGCATTCATTAACATTAGTTTATTTAGATTAAGATTACTTAATGTTTGCACAGAGGAGTGACAAAATAGCAACAAAACGTAAGTGCTAACTTTAGCATATGCCATTTATTACCCTAAATTGGCAATAGGATCTCAGATGTCTTGATCATCTTCAATTAGACTGCACACAAATGTAAAGAAGCTGTGGTGTGCTAGCACTATTACATTTTAAAGAATAATCAATTAGTAAAATTTATTAAATGTATTGGATTTCCCCTAAATATACTCACTCCTCAAATAGGCACTCCACTAGGGGGAGTATTAGTGTATTAAATAGGTTTTAAAAAAATCTTATAAAACAAGAGCAAAAACGAGTAAAAGGACGTCTCCTTAGCCACAATATAAAACTTGTGAAAAGAATTCAGAGTGTTGGAAACATGTCTGGCTAATAAAGTTAGTCTGAAACTGCCAAAGGTAGGACAGGTGGTGGGCAAACACAGAACATTAGTGTACAGTACTTTAAGAAATAAATGTAAGTTTATTTTGTACAAACCTCAGCTTCTGCTGCTAATTCATATTTGGACTTTTTGCCTGGCATATTTCTAATCAGATCAAATAGGCCATCCTCGTCAATAATTTTTGTCCCTAATGTTGATGCCTAGAACAGAAAGAATAACGAAGATTAGCTCAATTGCACTTCTGTAAAACAGTTCATGTATGACTAAGTTTGGAAACACAAGCAATGCTAAAAGCTACTCTCAGTAGCAGATACAATTTTAAAAACAAAATTAATACCAAATAGCCTATAAATGACAGAAATGAGACAGGAGGGGAAGTAGTTAGGGTATGAGTGGTTGTTTTTAGTAGTAATATAAAAAATACAAACACTGTACATTAAAGACAGACATTTAAAGGACTTCTATTCACATTATCAAATGGTGGCATTTGAAAAAAAAATCTGAAACTAGTTTACATACCTGGAATTTTTTTTATTTTAAATTTTCCCAGAAATTAACTTTTGAATATGCATTGCAAGTGGCAATAAGACACATTAAACAACAGTCTGACAGGGCTGATTAATTTACACCTTCAGATTCATTTCGTGTTTCACCAGACACCGTCTGTGCTCATTAATCAAAACTATCTTAGAGCAGTGGTCAACCAGTAAATCGGGATTCGCCAGTAGGTCTTGGAGTCTCTGACAGGTGATCTTGACTGGTTTGGCCAAAAGGCTATCAAGCACTGGTACTTCAGTTGCCCCTGCATCCACTGTCATGCTACTCCCTGCCCTCTCTGCCTTGGAGCTGCCCCCCTGGAAACTCCCTGCTTGCTGTGCAGGGTGGGGAGGGAGGAAGGGGGAGGCACTGATGTCAGGGTGTCCCTCCTCCCCCAACTCCTGTACCCTCTCTCCACACAGAGAGAAGGGAATGGAGGGAGCTTGGCAATGCAAATGTCTATCATGCTCACACATTGTCTGTCATTCTCACAAACACACACCTGTCCTTCCCTCTCATTTCCCAACACAACACATGCATGGGGAGTAGTTGTTACAAACAGTGAAAGAAGTAAAGTGGGTTATTTTTGGTTTTTGACTGGTCTGTGCATTTCATAATTTTCATTTCTCTCTTACGCTTAAATTCTTTGAGTAGTGAATTCTCAAATGCCTAACCTGTCATGGCAGGAGTCATTATTCTTGTGGTAACTGCTGCTCCTGGAAGTGGCTGGCATATCCCTGCAGCCCCTGAGAAAGGCAGAGCAGGGGGCTGCCACATGGTGTCCTTGCCTGCAGACACCACTCCTGCAACTCCCATTGATCAGTAATGGGAATCCATGGTAAGTAGAAGCTGTGGACTCTGTGCCTGTAGATGAGGGGCAGCATATGGTGCCATGACTGTACATGCCAGCTGCTTACAGGAGTGGTGCAGGGCTAGGGCAGGGGTACACCTGCCTTAACCTCACTGCTCCACCACCCAGAAGCAGTCTCAGTAAAACGGTGCCCAGCCAGAACCTGCTGCCTGAACCCGTCCCAGCCCTGAATCTTCTCCTACACCCAACCTCGTGCCCCAGATGCAAGTTCCCCTGAACCCAAACTCCTTCCTAGATCTTGCCCCTGAAACTCCTCCTGGACCCCGGACCCCAAACCCCCACCCTGGGCTAAGCCCAGAGCCCCTCCCACACTCCAAACCCCTTGGCCTAAGACCAGAGCCTGCATGCCTATCCCCTACTCAGCTTGGCGAAAGTGAATGAGGATGGGGGAGGAAAGGAGATGGAGTGTACAGAGTGAGGCCTCGGAGAAAGGGTGGATCGGGGCAGGGCCTCAAAGAAGGGGCTGGAAGGAAGTGGGGCAAGGGTATTTGGGTGTGAGGTAGATCTTACATTGCACTTGAATTGAAAAAGCGATCTTATGGTTAAAAAAGGTTGGAGACCACTGTCCTACAGACTCATCCTACTACTCAATGAATGTCTTCAGTATTGACTGTCCCACCTTTGGCGGTTTCAGACTAACTTTATTAGCCAGACATGTTTCCAACACTCTGAATTCTTTTCACAAGTTTTATATTTAATCAGGTCTGAAGCCTTTAATATTAATACTGTATTATTTGTACATTAACTGAAACACCACTAATTAGCATTGCTGTCAACTTTGGGCGTATTCCTGCTCTTACATATAGAAGAAAGTGCACTTCCTCAGACATACCGTCTGTACATATGTGAGTATGGATGAGCCCACAAAACTACTGTCAAAATTGAAGCTACTGGTAGAAAAAGAAGGAAGTCAGTGTTACCTTTAACTGAGACACAATCTAAAATTAGCAGTACAAAGAAAGTCTATTAACACTTCATTTTTTTAAGAAAAGTTACTACAGGTTGGACCTCCCTGGTCTGGCACCCTCGGGACCTGACCAGTCCCAGATGAGGGGATTTGCTGGACCAAGGGAGGTCTCTCCCCTCTTGGCCTATGCTAAACCATTGCCCAACCCACCACCTCCACTAGCGCTCCGGCCCACCCAGCTGTTGCCTGGTCACTCCCTGGGCCAGAGCTCTCTAGCTCTGCTTGGCCCGCCTGCTGCTGGGGTCGGAGCTGCATGGCCAGACTCCCTGGGCCAGATCCACATGGCAAGGACTGGAGCTACCTGTCTGCTGCCGGGGCCAGAGCCAGAGCTGCACAGCTGTTGCTAATCCCCTGCTACTGCTTAACGGTTGGGGCCAGATTTCCCCACTGCACTGCTCACCACCACCACCCATACATGGGGCTCCTGGCTGAGTCACGGGCCCCCCCACTGCACTCCTGCCCCACAGCAGGACCTCCTTATACCTGGTCTTTTGGGTCCATGAACATCTGTGATCCTGCCGGACCACAGATGTTGCCAGACCAGAGAGTCCTGGTTAAGTACAATCTGTATTTCATTTTTTGCGTATTTTTCAAAATACACTTTTAGAGAGAACTGTCTTGTTTTGGAAGAGAGATGTGATGATAGTAAATTTACATGTGGATATGTTTTGAATGAGAGAAGAGTTATTTAAAGTTAAGCACCAACATTGACACAAGAACTGGATGTAAAACTACCAGCAGAAAGTTTAGGCTTAAAATTAGACAAAGGTTTCTAGCCACCAGAGGAGTGAAGTTCTGGAACTGCTCTTCAAGGGGAGTCATGAAGGCAAGAAACCTAATTGGCTTCAAAACGGAACTTGATAACTGTATGGAGGGGACACTATGATAAGACTGCCTACAACTGCACATAGCTAATCTACAACTAATAGTAACAAATATCCCCAATAGCCAGTAACGGGGCTCTACAGACAATTGTTTCCCAGATGATGCGTGGCTGTTGAGCACTTCAGCAAGACCCAGGGTCCAATGATTGCCATATTTGAGATTAAGAAGGAATTTTCCCCTCTGGGACAGACTGGCATGACACCCTGGGAGGTTTCACCTTCCTCTGCATCACGCGGCATGTGTCACTTTGCACGTTTAAACTAGTGTAAATGATGGATTCTTTGTAACGTGAAGTCTTTAGATTATGATTTGAGGACTTCAGTAACTCAGCTAGAGGTTACAGATTCATTAAAGGAGTAAGCAGGCAAGGTTTTGTGGCCTGCAACGTGCAGGAGTTCAGACCAGATGATCATGAAGGTCCCTTCTGGCCTTAAAGTCTATGAGTGAATTAACTTGTATACTTCACTCTTGGATCGTCCGTAGTAGCACTTACCTTGTCACATTTAGACTGGCCACAGTCACGCCCCATAATAAGATAGTTTGTCTTCTTGCTGACATTACCAGTTACTTTTCCCCCATAACGCTCAATTAAAGACTTTGCCTCATCTCGTTCAATAGACTCCAGGACTCCTGTAATTACGAATGTCAAGCCTTCCAAGCAGTTTTCAGCTCCCTAAGAATCAAATATTGCAGTAAGCAGTATCACTTGATGCACTTACAGCAAAATGTCTCCCCATTACAAAAACAACTTCTTCAATACCTTCATTTGTCAAGTACTGTTTAGTTAGCTGAGTCTGTCAGCAGCCAAAAACAATTGAATTGATAGTCAGAATCAGAACTATTCGTCTGACACTTAGCTAAATTTAAGTAGGAAAACTCAATTACAATAGGTATCGACTCCCTGTGCTTCAGGCACGGCAAACCCCTGGCAGTCACTTTCTTCGACCAGAAGGGCAGTTGTTTTCTACTGTTTCTCTATATATTAAAGAAAGTTTTTCCTGTGGGGTGACAGAGTGACTCATCATGTCACCCTGCCCCACCCCAGCCTCAACAGAGTCCCCAGAAGAGGCAGCCATGGGTCACAGTTCTCTACCCCCCCTGCATCAGGAGGGCGCCTTGGACTCCCCGCTGGCCCCCAGCTCCCCTGCAGGACAATGGGGTGGCAGCAGTGGCTCCTCGCTGCACTGGAGGCCCCCAACATTCCAGGACCCCGCGGAGAACTGCCACTTCCAGCTGCTCAACCCAGCCGCACTGGGGGGCCTGCTGCATGCCTGGAACACCAGCCTAGAACCCTCTCCCCTCCCCAAGATTAGCATGCCAGCTTCCTGCGCGGAAAGGAGAACACCCCGAGGCTCCATGCCGGATGACTTGTAGAGAAGCATGCATGTTGCGGAGGCGGCAGTTCCCTGCTGGGTCCTGGAGCGTCAGGGTCTCCAGCTCAGCAAGGAGCAGCGCTGCCACTCCCTCAGCCCCCAGCTCCACCCTGGTGCTCCTCCAGCAGTCAGAGGGGGGCCGAGAGGCCAGGGAGGCAGACAGGCTGGGCTGGTGCGGGGAGGGTCGAAGACAAGAGGCCAGGTCCGGTGCGGTCCCAGCCCTCCCCTCCCCAACGGCTAAGTCTGAGATGGTCCCTGGCCCTGCCCTCCCCTCCTGCTGTGGGGAGGCCTGAGGGGCTGGAGCTGGCATAGCCTCCAGCCGCCAGAGTGAGAATCAGTCTTGCTCACCCCCGAAGACGGGGGGGTGGCAAGCATAGCAAGCAGGGGGCACTGCCCCCTAGTAAATATTTTTTTTAAAATCTCTATATAAATCCAATATTATACCAAAGGTTTCCGAGTCTGTGACATTTAGGTTTTTTAATTTGTGCTGTTTATTTTTACATAAAAAGATATGGCTTTTATTTCATAAGGAATTAAAAAAAATGAAATCAATCTTTTTCTTGGATCAAAACAATTGGCACACTTCAAAATGCTGCACTCTTGTAAGTGAGCTCAACAACATGACAGAACTATAGACTCCTACAAGCCATTTTCACAAGCACCTTTCAATGCCACAAATACTGAATTTACTTTCCAAATTATTGGGTATTACCAAGTAATTTATACCTAAAAGCCCTTAGGCTTCAATAAGTGCATCAATATTATTACACAGAAAATGCTGTAAATCTTCTACAGCCAACCAACCCGTGTTCCCTGTAAACTGTGTGCTTATGCAGTCACTCAGGAGAGATTCAAACAATGCCCAGCTGATTAAGTAAAGCAGTATGTTTAGTTACTACTGGTGGTGCACATTCACACATGCCCAGTGCACTTAAATTTATTCTATACATGGATGTAAAAAAAAAAAAAAAAAAATTCTGTGCATGAATGAAAAAGAGTAGAGGGAATACTGCAGCCAACCTGGGACTTACTTGTGGTATGTCTTTGGAACCAAGTGCTTTTGGACCTTCTCGATTAAGGAAACTCCGATATGCCTGGTAGTTGACGCGTTTCTTTTCAGAGTCCTCAGGACTGAAAGACTTTGAAAGAAGAAATTTGCAGTAAGCAATGTAACAATCAAACTCAAGGCTTACTTTCTTTAAAATTTCCAAATAGCTTCTGGTGTACTAAAGCAGCAGCAAACCCTACGGCTCATTTTAAAATGCTGACACACAACTACAGGTTGAACCTCTGTAGACCGGCACCCTCAGGACCTGACCAGAGCTGAGCTAAAGAATTTGACGAACCACAGGGGGTCAATATTGTCTAGCAACATTACCAACACTTCCACTGTTTACTGGGCTCTTAGAAGACATTTAGGGGTAAATTAGAACTAAACAACATGCGCGGAACACTGAGCCACAGGACTGGTGGCTGTAAACAAACTTTATGGGACTGAAACTTGGCCACACCCATGATAAGTGAACATCCAGCTATCTAAAATGATTGCAGACCAAGGATGTCGTGCCTTGACAGACCAGAGAGCACTGGACTAAAGAGGTTCAACTGTACTAGCAAGACTGGCCTTTACAAAAGGAAAATAACTCTACAGTATTGCAGCACATCTCTTTAAATATGCGAAAAGAATTACTGTTCAACAGTGAACATTTTCACTATTTATGTTAACATCATGTTTGGATGAGCTCTATCAGGGAATAGAAATCCACTTTAAATTCATATTCAATCTTAAACCAGAATAATTTTCACATGTAGACATGCCCTAAGCTGATACACACAACCAATTTATTTTGCAATGCTTCAGATGCATCAGCCTTTTATTCATAAAAATCTAAGAAGTAAGAAAAGACCTATTAGAGAATTCAGGCCTTCCTCCTTGTAAATGCAATATTGTCTATTTCTCTTTACAAACACAAACTATGACTGTTGTTAAGCATACAGAACCTTAGAGACAATGTATGCCATTTTTAGCTTCTTATTTTAAAGCTTCTTATCTCAACATGCAGCTTATTGCCCACTTGTTCGCAGCCTGCAGTGAGGTTTGTGTTTACGTGGGCTCAACACGCAGCCTGTGGGTGGGATCCTTTGAACATGGCCTCCCCTGGGAACACACTCCACAACGGTGAGGGATTTCCCAGGCGAGGTAAATACTGAAAGATGCAAGCGGACGGCCTGGCTGGAACAAATGGATATAAGGGGTCAGTGTTTCTAGCCCCCAGGGAGGAGGTGCTGGGAGCCCCGGGGCATTGTGGGAAGTGATAGCTGCTTAGTCTTATGGGCAGGGCCTGAGAGGTGCTGACTGGCTCACACTGGCCACATTTATGTCTGGAGCCATGGCTTAAGGCTTAATCTTTGTATTCATGCCTGTCAGTGTGAAAGAAGCTATTTGCAAAAAAAAAAAAAAAAAAAAAAAAATTATATATACACACACACACAGGGTATATACACACACACACACACACAGGGTATATACACACACACACACACACACACACACACACACACACACAGGGTTTGACAAACGGTAGCGAAAATCACTTGCCAGCCCCGTACTGCACATGCGCAAGAGACGCATTGCGCATGCGCGCGCCACGAATGAACGGGACGCGCAGCTGAAATCTACTCGCCATAGGCGAGTAGATTGTATAGTTTGTCAAGCCCTGTGTGCACGCTCATGTGCTGTGAGTGTCACTGTGGCCCCCTGGGCTTCCAAAGTTGAGTAGCCCTGGATTAGAGAGTTGAGAAAATTATCTTCCGAATCTTCTCTCAAATTAACATTTAACTATTTGAAATATAAGACTAGCAGAAGCTTCTGACATTTCAGAGTCTAGGATTAACAACAAGGTAGGAATTGTTGAAAAGCTGATTATGCTGTGCTTAAGTCTGCATTTCTTATATTTATTAACATATATTCTAAATTAATTTCCTCCTGTGTCATCTACAGCATCCTGCATCGAGAATTCAGCTAGAACAGTTTTCATATTTGTATCATAACCTGTACCAAGCACATGCCTAGGAGTTATTTATTCTGGTAACAATGTATTTGCATACCAAGGATTCAAAAAACCCGTTCACTTCTGTAATCAATTTGAGCACCAAAAAACTCCCAGTCACCATCAATTCAGTTTTCCCCCTCCAAATTTCTGCATTATGTAACTATTCAGAGAAGTGCTTTCTTCCCACAAAACTTTTCAACATGATATTTCTGTGCACATGTACCCTTTAAGAAGTGCTTGTTAACTAGATCTATTAATTCCTAGGTTAATTCTTTAAATATTCTTCTGGGTAATCTTTTTCTTGCTTTGTAAACTTCATTACAAATTTGACTTCTTGAAATGAGAAATGCAAAGGCAAAACATATTGACCAGCAACAATAGTTAGATGAGGAACCTGGTAAAATGAAAAAAAAAACCACCACCCCCCCAAAAAAAAAAAAAAACCCATTCATACCCTTCTGTCAGCATCAAGCGCTAGTGACCTCCTTCATGAAAGGTCCCTACCTCAGGTTTTTGGGGAGAAATTTTCTGTTTCTTTGGCGTTCTCTTCTCTTCCTTTTCTGAAGTGATTTTTTCTTTTGTCGCTGCACTAGGAATCTCTCTCCCCTTTTTATTGCTCTCTTCTTTCTGTTTCAGAGCCACAAGCTTAGAGCTAGGTTTCAAAGGCAAGGTCTTATTCATTAACTCCATTGCTTTACTGACAGAAGTTTCTGGATGTGAACAGGATGCTCTTGTGTTTTCTGATTTAGCTTGTTCCTTTTCATTATTAGTCTTTGTGTCTTCTGTTGAGTTTGAAGTTATCCCTGGGGGAAAAAAAGGGGGAGGGGGAAGAAATGTGTGTTAACAGGAGAACTTTCATATTCCAGATTGAATGCTAAAGTTTTTCTGTATGCTAGCATTACTTTTTTTAGATTGTTTATTTTTTTCCATTGTGTTTGAACTTGTCTTGGTAGTTGAAATGATTTGCTTGTCTTCTGGATCTTTTCGAGCCTAAACAAAAACAAAATACCAGGGGTTAGAAGTGTACACCTTCGGCAGGTTCAAACCATCTCTCTCAATTTCTGAAAGCTATATTTGGGTTCTGAAAAGCACTGTGTAAATGGTTAGTCCCAACCACTTGTTAGAACAGGATTTATTCATGCACCTCTGGAAAATACATCTAAGCAGATAAGCTTTTTAGGGTCAAATTCTGTCCTTCTGCATACCCCCCTCTTCGAATGGGAGACATATGTCTAATAACCTATGATGATAAATTTGGTCCTAATCTGTTCATTTGGCAGCTTAAGAGAAACAGCTTTCATTTATAAATTTCGAAGGCGATTACTTTAACTAGTAAGTGTTCCCTTTCTGATTTACATCTGACCTATTTTCAGTTTGAATGTTTTGATTAGTTTCAAAATAAAATCAAGGAAGCAGAAAATCATAACAGTTAGAACAATCCTATTTTATGTATGTTTTAACACTGGTGGACAATGTCAGATTTACAACACTGAAAAATACAGCCTCCTATTCGCTTATCAGGCACTCTCTAACACAGAGGACCCACAATTTTAAGAATTCATTTTCTATGTTTTTTCAATCCCTGGCTTCTCTGAGATTGCCAACATTCTTGCAAGGTAGAAACAAAATAAGGTGGTGGTTTTGTGACGTAGACTCTCACTTTGGATCAGCAACTCAACTTCACCTCAAGTACTAAGTCACCAAATAGTCTACCAATCTGGGCTGAATTTAAAGTGGACCTACATGTGATAGGAAACACAAACCCTAAACCATTCCATTTTTATGTTGATAAGATTTTGCTACATAATTGCCTATAGAATACATTCAAAAGTACTAATATAACTTTGATTTAATTTGAATTTTTCCCACAAACTATTTCAGTCTTCAGTATTTTAATATTAAATTTTAACCTTCTACATCACATCTGAGCATGAATCACAATCAAACTGGAAAACTGTGCTACTTCACAAAATCAGTTTAAAAACTAAGACCAGTTCCACACTAAAAAGTCAACTCAACTATGTCCCATAAGCTATGAAAAATCCATACCCCTCAGCAAAGTAGCTAAGCTTATTTATCCCCCAGACAGCACTAGGTCACTAGCTACCACTCCCATTACTACAGTGATCGGAGAACCATTCCCATTACTATAGTAACTCAGAGTCTACACTAAAACACTACAGCAGTGCAGCTGCAGCTATGCTATTGCACCAGTTTAACTGTATACTACGGATGTAAGCAACTAGTCGACTAGCCAATAAGCAAATGCTTATTGGATAGGAGACTCGACTAGTTCCCCCAGCTGCCTCTATCAGCAAGGGAGGGGGAGCAGAAGCTGGTGTTGTGGGGAAGGAGACAGTAAAGCTGGTTTCCCCCAGTAAGAGGAGGCAGGGGAAGCAGAGGCACAGTGGGAAACAGCACAAGTGGGAATTTCTTCAGTCCCCACTCGTACTGGTTCCCACTGTGGGCGCTTCTGCTTTTGAAGTGAAGTGAAGCTGAACTGCTTTTCAGAAGCAGAAGTGCCGCAGGGAGCACGGGGAGAGCAGGGACTCAAGCAGTCCCCGCTCTCATCATGTTCTCTGCAGCGCACCCTCTTGGGAAGAGGGGGGACAAGAGCCAGTGCTGGGGGGAGCCAGCTTAAGAGCCCATTCCCCACCAGCACTGTTTCTGGGGTGCCATCTGGCCCCCCCACCTGTATTAGAGACAGCAGCGGGGATAGAGGACACGTTAAAAAGCAGCCCCTGTCCACAGGGGTCCCAAAGCGGAGCTGGGGCCCCCCCACAGAGACTGCTAGACTCAGCGTGAGCTGGGACTGAGCAATCCTGGCTCACGCTGGTCTGGGACACTGCGCTTCTGCATTTTAAATGTAGTAAGAGCCCAGTGGCACTTACTGCATTTAAAATGCAGAGCCGTAGCATGGGTGGCTCTGGAGCCAACATAAGCCAGGACTTCAGTCCCGGCTCGAGTTCGCTCCTCTGGAGCTACCCCAACTGCAGCTCTGCTGGGTGCTTATCAACTATACAATTAGTCAAATAATTGCATTTTAACATTCTTAGTGTATACCCAACCTACAACTTGGTCTTGTAAAATTTCATATGTTAATAGAGAAATTATGCCCACAAACAGAAAACAGACAACTGAATGAGGAGTTTCATTGACTAGATTTCTAGTTCTGAAGAGATACAGAAGCCAGTAATTAACTGCTAATGGTTCAATCTTCTTTTCCAGTAAATTACTAATTATAAAAAAAACATTTTGTCAGACAATACTAGGTGAGTTCATAGATATAATTATCACCTGGATTTACTGTTTAATCTTCAGGTAAGTCTCAGAGTTAGCTTGTTAGACAGCTATGTACAAAGCTATAATTATGACAAAGGTGAAGAACTCTACTAATGAAGGGGCCAGTAAAGGAGAACTGTTCTGCTGCACTCACTAGGGCTATGTCTAGACTGCAAGCCTCTTTCGAAAGATACTTTCGAAAGAGCCTCTTTCGAAAGAGAGCGTCTAGACTGCACACGGAGTTTCGAAAAAGCAAGCCGCTTTTTCGAAAGAAAGCACCCAGTGAGTCTGGATGCTCTCTTTCTAAAAAGCCTGTTTGCTTTCAAGAACGCCTTCTTTCGAAAGAGCACTTTCGAAAGAAGGCGTTCTTCCTCGTGGAATTAGGTTTACCACCGTCGAAAGAAAAGCCGCATTCTTTCGATTTAATTTCGAAAGAACGCGGCTGCAGTCTAGACGCAGGTGAAGTTTTTTCGAAAAAAGGCTACTTTTTTCAAAAAAAACCCTGAGTCTGGACACAGCCTAGCAGCCAACAGAGCATAGTGACAGTTTCAAAGGAAGCAGTCCACCCACTCAACTTCAAGGATAAAAAGCAAGACACCTGCTGATGCTCAGGGAGGATGATTCTTACTGAGAATGGGCATCATAGAACACTAGAACTGGAAGGGAACTTGAGAGGTCATTGAGTCCAGTCCCCTACCCTCACAGCAGGACCAAGCACTGTCTAGACCATCTCTGATAGAGGTCTATCTAACCTGCTTTTAAATATCTCCAGTATATCTAACCTGCTTTTAAATATCTCCAGAGATGGCAATTCCACAGCCACCGTAGGCAATTTATTCCAGTGTTTAACCACCCTGACAGTTAGGAAGTTTTTCCTGATGTCCAACCTAAACCTCTCTTGCTGCAGTTTAAGCCCATTGCTTCTTGTCCTATCCTCAAAGGCCAAGGAGAACAATTCATCTCCCTCCTCCTTTTGTTCTATCCTCAGAGGCCAGGAAGAACAAGTTTTCTCCCTCCTCCTTGTGACACCCTTTTAGATACCTGAAAACCGCTATCATGTCCCCTCTCAATCTTCTCTTTTCCAAACTAAACAAGCCCAATTTTTTCAGTCTTCCTTCATAGGTCATGTTCTCTAGACCTTTAATCATTCTTGTTGCTCTTCTCTGGACCTTCTCCAATTTCTCCACATCTTTCTTGAAATGTGGTGCCCAGAACTGGACACAATACTCCAATTGAGGCCTAATCAGCAGAAGACTTCTTGTGTCTTGCTCACAACACTCTTGTTAATGCATCCCAGAATCATGTACAAGTACAAGTGGGCATAACCTTTTCAATCCCATAACCTAATGCTTCTAGCCTCCCCATGGATCTCCATAAAATACATACACACAAATATAATGCAATCCAGGAGTCACAAGAACATTTTAGTTTTAAAAATCTTTATTTTTAAAACAAAACTTATTAAAAATTAACCTTTTTTTTCTTTGGTGTTTCATCCAACATGGCCAGAGTTCTGGCAAATTCTTCATCTTCATGCAGCTGTCTCTCTAGCTGTGAAAAGAGGAGAATATCCAGGTTTTTGTCAAAGAATTAATTCATAGATAGTTTGTATATAAAGATTAAAAATTCACAAAACACATGGACAATGACAATAATTTAAATCAAATATTTCGCCAAGAGGAAATACTGCTGCATTAGACTTCTCCAAATGCTACAAAATGACTTGTTTTACCCCAAGTGTTGTGACAGTATTCAACTCAATGAAAGGTATCTGTAATACCAACCAACCCACTATATAAAGAGACACGCTATCTAGATATTTAGGAATAAAATTGTGCAATACCATTATTCTGTTCCTTTGAACATTTGGACTACCTTCTTAATACATTACACATCTAAAATCAGAAAAGAAGTCAAGATCTCACTACTAAATCTGTTACCCGGGAGCTCCCAGCTGGTCTCAGAGATCCTCTTCCAGAATTGATTTCAGAAAAAAAAAATCCTGTTCTATATTAAAACATCACCATAATGAAAGTGGCATCTTAATGCCAGTTTGCTTATTCAAAGATGGCAGATTTTTACAAATATATCCTCTGACATTTCCCTGGCTCTTACTTTAATGCATTTGAGAAACTGACATATTAGACAGATGCGAATCCTGTTGAAAAATATAGATAGCAATTTCAACAAAATAGATTTCCTCCAGAGTCAGATCTACACAATTCCTCAGATTTCATTTGCAATTAATTATTAGCTTGTGCCAAATAAAAATATAAAGCCTAGTTATATTAGGAACAAATGAAGGAAAACCTAACAAAGGCAACATCTACAACAGTGACAGGAATCCTTGTTACCATTATCATCATCTAATATTGTGCCTTGAGGAAAACATTTGTCCTTTCTAAGGTGTTTATTGGTAATAACTGTACTCCACATTACAAATCAAATCCTTTTGCAACAGCAAGTAAACTGCCTTAACCCAAGAACAAACACGCCTTCCTGCATGATTCAAATAGATGACTTCATAAGTCCAGATATACCACAGGCACTATTTTCTATGTAACCATAACACTGGTAGTATACTGAAGCTGATGAATGGCATCTATCTTTCCTGCTTCCAGCAGAAAGACGAAAAAGGACAGAAACAGTATCATTAATGTAAATGAGGCATTTAAGTAAAAAATACACAAGAAATGTAATGGAGATGCTCTAATTATATCTACAGCACCACCACTCTTGTACAAATTGCATTAGGGATTTAAAGAAAATTTAGTCTTTTTCTAAAAACGTACATTTAATATAAAAAGTTAACCCTATGAGAAGATAATATTTTCTGGCAAATTCATAGAGCACGGGTTCCCAAACTGGGGGCATGAAGAAATTCTGGGGGGGGGGGGGGGGGAAGGGAGCGCAACCCCCCCCCCCATCAAGTTTTGCTGCCCCAGTCAGTTCCTTTTTTTTTTTTCCTCAACAAGTTTTGCTGTTGGGGGTAGAGCGGGGGCATGAGGGTTTTTCAAAAAAAATCAAAAAGGGGGCATGATGCCAAAAAGTTTGGGAGCCACTGTCATGGAGGATGTTCTATTTTTTAATGTTTGTAAACTATAAAACATTTATTTCATAGAATACTTATGCATTAAACATTTTCCTGTACATCTATTAAACGTAAATTACCCACTCTTCCCTTCAATGAAGAAAACATGCACATATTTTCACAGATATTCTACCCTTCTCCCCATATAAAACAGATTCATATGTTGCTTATAAAGTTAAATACAGTAGTACTATTGTGGATAAGAAGGATATGTCTAGAAGTGCATGGAGATCAAGAGACCATCAAATGAAATGGTCATGGATGGCAGTGATCTCTTGAGATGTAGCATGCATTTCACAGGGCAAGAGAGAAGTAAAGAAGGGGGAAGGAAGAGTAGATCTGAAAGGGCAGGAGTAGTAAAGACAGGTAAGAGTGTGCAAGAGTGATGTAGAACCGCAGAGAGCAGGGTACATAAGGAGGCCCCATTTACAATATTAAAATGACATCCACAAAATAACCTTGCATATAATAACTTTATTGTTTAAATGTATTTTTTAAAGAAGGCATAAAGTCTGTCTTCTCTTTGCAAGTCATTGGAACAGCAAATTCATGGAATTGCTCAACACAAAACACAACAAAGCTATTTTGTTGTCAAGTGAAGGCTGTTAAAGAGGATTATTTGATTTGCGGGGACAGAGCACCAGGACAAAGTTTACCTCTACATCTTCCTCTAACTGCAGTTGCTTAGCAATGGCCTCATCTTCTAGCAATGAATCTCTGCTGTGTGAAAGCTGCAGTTGAAAGAAAGGAAAATAAAAACAACAGTTCAAGTTCTCCCATTATCTAGAAAGGTACCATGGAATACAGTTGTATTAATTATGAGGAGTATAATTTCCCTAGCCCAGGGGTCTCAAACTCCCCAGCCAGAATAGTTATGCAATGCACCATTTAGGTCCCCTCCCGAGTTTGAACCCCTGGATTTCATGCTTGAGATCTGCTTAAAGCCCAGGCCCTAACCCTAGAGCAGTGGTCTCCAACCTTTTTACACCCAAGATCACTTTTTAAATGTCAGGACAAGCCAAGATCTAGCCCCATCCCTTCCCCAAGACCCAACCCCTTCCTTGATGTCGCGTCCTCTCTGTTCCCCTCCTCTCCATCACTTGCTATCCCCAGCCCTTATACACTCACTGCGTTGAGACAGGAGGTGCAGGCTCTGGGGTGGGAATGAGGGATTTGGGTAAGTGAAGGGGTGAGAGATGCAAGCTATGGGAGGGAATTTGGGTGAAGGAGGAGGTGAAGAAGGAGATGCTGGCTTGGGGAGGGGATTCCAGGCTGGGGAGTGTTGGGGGCAGGCCAACATCTTTCACAAATTTTCAATTTTTAGTCAAACAATATTTTAGAAATTCAAACTGATATTCTCTAGTGTTCTTGACTTTTTAATCAAGCATTTCAGACAGTTTACTGATAGTACAATAAAACTCTTCACATAGAACTAGAATTGGGAGAAATTCCTTATCAGGTTTCTCTTTACACATGTAAAATATAGAATTGTTGAAGAAAAAAAAAAAAAAGCTTGTTCTTACCAAGTCCATTTTATAAATTAAAAAAAAAATCTGACAAACAGCAGCAGCTACAGGAAAATGGGTCCGTTGGTAGTTATTTAGTGTTGAAAAACATCGTTTGGTAACATCACTCTTCAGAGAACTGAACAGGAAGAGAGACTAGCAAACTGATAGCCTCCATTTTGCTGGTGTTTCTAAAATGAGTGTAGTAAGTTGCAACTTGAATTTCTTCAGTTGTTTAATTAAAGTCTTGTTTTCTTAGTAAAAGTTGAACCTCTCTGGTCCGGCAACATCCATGGTCCAGCATGATTGTAGTTAGCCAGATGTCCACTTATGAGTTTGGCCAAGTTTCCTGCGATTCTATAAAGTGTGTTTGTTTTTTTTAAAATAGTCGCCACTGCTGGCGCGCAATGTTCTGCACTGTTATTTAGTTCTAATTTACCCACAAAAGTCTTCTAAGAGCCCATTAAGCAGTAGAAGTGTTCAGAATGCTGCTATCAATACAGGCTTCCCACAGTTTGGCATAGTCTCTAGTTCGGCACCCATCAGGTCCTAAGAGTGCTGGACTAGAAAGGTGCAACCAGTATTTTAAAAATTTGTTTCCTACAAAATGATGCAATACTTCAAAAATTTTATCCCTCACCATGCACCAAATCTTATGTGTTAATAATCACTAATTTAATAATTTTTTTATTCTTACATGTGGTTAATGAATTAATTTCACAAAATCTACAAAACAGAAAATTTTGCTACAGAAGCATAGCACATATATTAGAACATTAATGAACTACTTTTTGCTGAATATCAAATTATACTTTTCTCTTTGAAAATATCAATGTTTTTTAGAACTTCTAATACATCTGGATTTGTTAGTCAAAATAATACTCATTTACACTAAATTTACACAAAATGGCTTTTAAAACAAGACATGTCAAGAATAAATGGTTATGTGGCAGCTCTGCATTGCCGTTAAGCAGTTCACTAAACCAGCCATTTTGATCTGCTATCATTAAACACCTGAGCAGCTAAACAAGAATATACTGAATACTCACTTCTTTTCTTTTGCTTGCTACCAATTTCTTTTCTGATCGTTGTACGCTACTAGTTCCAAAGTAATCGAATACTGAGGTTGGTGTCAATTTTACTGGAGATAAAGGTTTACTTCCGGCCTGTGGCTTAGCATCCTCCTTTCTTGCTCCTGCTGTTCCTGGACAGCTGCTTGCTGATGTTCCATTCTCCTTGGGTTTCTGTGAAGTCTTCTTATTAATGAAGTCATCTTCATCATCTTAACAGAGAAAAATATTTGATCACTCTGTTATCCTGAATATGTTCTTACATAATGTAACCGAGGAAAATTATTTGGGGCATGGTTTGTTATTTCTTCACCTGACATCTTTGAAAATTTTACAAAGTGTGAAATGTTCATTTAAAAAAATACAGCTCAAAGCACCACTTACATAATTCAATGTAGGCTATTGGTAATTATGTACAAATTTATTACTACTATTTTGTACTCATGCAGAATCTTTCATCCAAAGAACTTTATAAATGTATGTAAAACAGAGACGGCAATAGAATCAAGGTCTCCTGACTTTCAAACCTCTTCCGTAGATGAAAACAGCAAGTTATTAAGATAAAGGCCTTTTACACCATACCCCTTTAGTTACAACAACAACAACAAAATACACACACACACACACACACACACACACACACCCCCCCCAAAGCATAGCATTATACTGATCTATTTTTCATTTCAGTATTTACATGGGCCTCATCACTTGAGTACCCCAGGATTGCTTACTACTATCTACTAACTAAAGCGACAGGGAGTTCTGTGGCACCTTATAGACTAACAAATGTATTGTAGCATAAGCTTTTGTGGGCAAAGGCCCACTTTGTCAGATGCATGTCATGATACAAAAATATTTTAGGACTTTCATAGTTGGTACCAGAGGCAAGGGAACAGAGATGCACTGAGGTGCATATTTCCTGGAAATGTGCGAGGCGACTGCTTGAATCATAAGATTTTTTTAAAAGGTTTGTGCCCATAACAGTAACTAGCAACTATACCTAGCATATGTGCGCTAGCAGTGGCAGCAACATTCACAAACTCTTATCAAAACCCCGAAATGCTTAACAAATTATATTACTTCTCCCTCCACTGAAAGTGTGATCATCTCTAACACAGAAGAGCAGCCATTTAATAGCATATAGCAAAAGTAGACAACAGTTCCACATACACAGTAAACCCTGAAATTCAGGGAATTTTGGAATAGCCCATATACCACAAAAATGAAGTGAGGCTTTTATCTTCCTTTCCTTATAAAGAGCTGTTTTTGTGAAAATGATGAAAAGAGTTTTATTCTTCCAGTTTTGTTAACTCATTTTTAGTATCCGCTCACAAGAAACCATTGCTACCAGATATTTTCATACATCAAGGTTTTCCAATAGGCAGATATTCAAAGAATCCATGTAATACAGTATTATCATTACTGAATCTTAGGTGGCCTGGCAACACAATTCATAGAAGAGATGTAAGAAACTTACTGTACTGTGTTACCTAGCTCTCTTGTAAGTAGATGACCATGCCCATCCTCGGTCTTTGATTGTTTTGCTCAGCTTGAGCCTAATCCAAAGCCCGCTGTGGTCAATGAAAAAAAAAAAGACTTCCAAATTATTTCAGTGAGACTTAGCTCCCCTCATTTACTACTAATATCCAATAAATACTCTAATTAAAGAGGACACTCCACCAGGACTATATAATAAATCAAACACTACAGATCCAATATGCCAAGAGACCAGATGAAGACGGGGGGAGGGGAGGGGAAGAAACCATACAGCATGGTTTGATTTTTTTCCGTTTGCTTTAATAAGATTTGTTTTTATGGTGAATTATTGCTAAAAGACTTTAAATTGAGGTATGTGAATTAAAAGATAAAGTGGCTGTCCATGGCCAGAGGAAATTATAGAGGGTATTAAGAACAGATGCAAAGGCCAAAAGAAAGTGAAAGGAAGATATGATTGGAGCAATTGAACAGGAGGCTTGAGTCAAGAGAAGAACTTAAAATGCACAGATCTGATAAAAGCAGAACTATACAGAGATTTCAAGTATCCTGTATCTACTTGAAAAATGTAAAACCAGCCTTCAGTTACAAGGGTGGTGTTTCTACTGCTTTCCTTGGGATACTACAGGCAGTCCCCGGGTTACGCGGATCCGACTTATGTCGGATCCGTACTTACGAACGGGGCTTTTCTCGTCCCGGAGGACGCGGGCGGCGGGACCGCCCAGACGCACCGCGGTCCCACTGCCCGTGTCCTCCGCGGCGAGAAAAGCTGCTCCGCGTCTCCCTGGTCTGCCGGCTTTGCTCCGCGTCTCCCCCAGCAGATTAGGGAGACGCGGAGTGGCTTTTCTCACCTGGTCCGCGGCGAGAAAAGCCTGGTCTGCTGGGAGGGGGGTGCACTAGCTGCGCCCCCCCAGCAGACCAGGGAGACGCGGGCGGCGGGACCGCCGAGACGCGCC